CAGCTAATTTTTTATATTTTTAGTAGAGACGGGGGTTTCACTGTGTTAGCCAGGATGGTCTCGATCTCCTGACCTCATGATCCACCTGCCTTGGCCTCCCAAAGTGCTGGGATTACAGGTGTGAGCCACCGCGCCCAGCCTCTCTTGAAACAGGGTCTCACTCTGTCATCAGACTGGAGTGCAATGGTGCGATATGGGCTCACTGCAACCTCCGCCTCTCAGGATCAAGCGATTCTCCTGCCTCAGCCTCCCAAGTAGCTGGGATTACAGGCACGCACCACTACCGCCTGGCTCATTTTTGTATTTTTAGTAGAGACGGGATTTCATCATGTTGGCTGGGCTGGTCTTGAACTCCTGACCTCAAATGATCCACCCGTGTTGGCCTCCCAAGTTGCTGGGATTACGTACATGAGTGACTGCTCCCGGCCTAATTTTCCTCTATATCCCGGTAGTTTTCTTTGTCCTGAACTCTATTTGATAAATACTTCTTCTTTCCTTTAATCACTTCTGACTAAAAAATTAAAGTTGAGCAAATTTCTGCTCAATGGGTGCCAAAACCATTGCACCCAGATCAGCTGCAGATAAGAGCTGAGTTTCCATGGAAATTTTAAACAATGGGATCAAGATTCTGAATACTTTCTTTGGAGAATTGTAACAGGAGATGAAACATGGCTTTAGCAGTATGATCTTGAAGACAAAGCACAATCAAAGCAATGCTACCAGGAGGTGTAAATGATCTAGCCAAAGTAAAAGCAGACTGGTCAAAAGCAAAGGTCCCAACATACACAAAAAGCAAAGGTCATGGCAACAGGTTTTGGGGATGCTCAAGGCGTTTTGCTTGTTGATATAGCTTTTACATTTTTTATTTGAATCTCCCTGTATTTTTATATTTCAAGTGAGATACTTGTAGGTAGCATGTAATTGGGTCTTTTTTTAATTCACTTTGTCAGTTTTTTTTCTCTTTCTCTTTCTTTTTCTTTCCTTTTCTTTTCTTTGTTTTTGTTTTTGTTTTTGTTTTTGTTTTGAGACAGGGCTTTGTTCTGTCACTCAGGCTACAGTGCAGTGGTATGGTGTCGGCTCACTGCAGCCTTGATCTCTCAGGCTCAAGTTGTCCTCCTACCTCACTCTGCTGAGTAGAGGAAAGAATGATTTCATCCTCATGATTTTGAGGACCAGGCCCAAGGCCCTGCTGGCATGTGAGCCTTGGGACACTGCTTCCAGGATCCTGACTGCTTTGGCTCCAGCTGGAGCCCAAAGGGCCACGGGTACAGCTCTGGCCACTGCATTGGAGAGTTCAGGCCACCATAAACCTTGTTGGCTTCCACATGGTGTTAAGCCTGTAGGTGCACAGAATGCAAGTGTGAAGGAGGCTTGGCAGCTTCCACCTAGATTTCAGAGGATGTATCAGAAAGCCTGGATGCCTAGGCAGAAGCCTGCCCTAGGATGGAGCTCCCATAAAGAACTACTAGAGCAATTCCCAGGAGAAATGTGGAGCTGGAGCTCTCCCACTGAGTTTTCACCAGCGTATTTTCTAGTGGAGCTGTGGGAAGGGGGTCACCATCCTCTAGATTCGAGAATAATCTAAGAATGCCAGCAGCAGCTTGCACCCTGAGCCTGGAGAAGCTTCAGGCATTCAATTCCAAGCCATGATATCAGCCATGGGAGTTGCACCCTACAAAGCCATGGAGGTGGGGCTGCTCAAGGCCTTAGGAGTCTGCTCTGTGCACCAGTGTGCCTTGGGTGCAGGACATGGAGTCAATAATTATTTTGGAGCTTTAAGATTTAATGTCTGCCCTGTGTGGTTTCAGACTTGTGTGGGACCTGTTCCTTTCTTTTGTCTGTTTTCTCCCTTTTAGAATGGGAATGTTTACCCAATGCAATGCCTGTACCACCATTGTATCTCTTTTTTTAAATCTTACAGGCTCATAGGTAGAAGAAACTTGCTTTGAGTCTCAGATGGGACTTGGGACTTTTGATTGAGTTGATGCTGGAACAAGTTAAGATTTTGGGAGAACTATTGGTGAGGAATGATTGGATTATGCAACGTGAGAAGGACATGAGATTTGGAGGGCTGAGGTGGAATGATATGGTTTGGATATTTGGCTCCTCTGAATCTCTTGTGGAAATGTGATCCCCAATGTTGGAGGTGGACCTAGTTGTGGGTGTTTGTGTCATGGGGGCAGATTCCTTATGAATGGCTTGGTGCTTGGTAATGAGTGAGTTACCACTTTATGAGTTCACATGAGATTTTCTTTTAAGAGTGTGGCACCTCCTCCCTCTCTCTCTTGCTTTCTCTCTCTCTTACCATGTGATATGCTGGCTCCCTCTTTGCTTTCAGTTGTGATTGGAAGCTTCCTGAGGCTCTCACCAAAAGCAGATGCTGGCACTATGCTTCTTACATAGCCTGGAGAACCATGAGCCAAATAAACCTCTTTTCTTTATAGATTACCCAGCCTCAGGTATTCCTTTATAGCAATGCAAAATGGACTAATGCACCACCCCAGCAGAGAGTGGGAGGTGGCAGCGTGTTATTTTCTGCATAGGGGTACTAGTCCAGGCTGCCCACATGGTCTCCTCTGATACCACAGCTGTGGAGCATGTTAGCAGTTGGGGGAATGAAAGTCTCAGTTTCATTCTGACACCACCAGAAGTATTGGGTTTCCTCATTAACAGCTTTGCAAGAGTGTAAATCTAGATTCCCCAGTCAACTTTTGCTGGTGTGGGGCCACAGTGTTTTTTTGTGGTGATTATCTGGAGTAAATTATTATCTAGGAGCTTTTTGTCTTGCTAGGCTGCCTATTTCCTGGTCCTTTGTCTAGAAAGAGCATGCTTTTTTTTTTTGAGCTTTTTGTATCAGTACCTAATAATGTTTCTGGCTGTTGGCTTCTTCAGGTCCAAGTCTGGAATAGATAAGGCAAAAACCCAGAGAGTTCACCACTGTGTCATTCTTCAAAATGTATAACACATTAAAGTATTTTGCACTTCCAAATGTTGACAATGTTCTCTAAATCTACTAACCTTTAGAATGTTTCCAAGTTCAAAGTTTGCTTCACTTTTGGACTAAGAGAATATTCATGTATTTTATATTGCTCCATCTTTTGTAATAAAGTAATTACTACATTGAACTGTTAAAAAATATAAACTACTTGTTAAAAATAAAATAGCTCCATGTTTTATCTATATCTTAATTATCAAGTAAACAAGGATTTAGGCTTTCTAATTATGAAGACATACTGGATTAAATAATCCTTATTCACATTAATATCCTTAACTATTCTTAGTACTTAAAATATAAACATTATGGCTATTCCTTTAAAAAATAACTAGTGATAGCTTATTCAGATCACATTTCTTAGTCAAACTAAGATGTAGCTATGGGATTCTGATTATGAATTGGACTGAAAATGAAAGAGAGGTTTATTAATAAGTAGGTTATTCTCAAATTATTTTTAAATCTATCTTTGCATTAGATTTACATTTTTCTTTTGACTATGGACTATATTAATACTCTCAGTATGTGTCTTTGATATTGCGATTCAATATCCATATGATTTTTGTTATAATATGACAATGTTTAGTCTTGATAAGAAAAAAGCATGGCTGAAAATTTAACATAGGAATAAACGATCTAGTGGACACTGATTCAAGTAGGAGTACTGATTTCTGGAAGTTAGAGTTTTAAGTTCAATACATAGGTCATTATGTTATATAACAAGCAACAAAGGAAAATGTCACAAATATCTTTATTCTAACAGTTAAAGTATCAGAAAATGATGAAGTTGTTCATACCACATTAAAGGAATTTTACATGTGTTCAGAAATTTTCCAAAATGTCATCTGTAAGTACCTGATAACTATATATACATGTGCATATGTATGTGTGTGTGTATAATATCATTTAAAAAATAAACACCCAAGCTATCCTAGAATAAGGTAAATCATATCAGTCAAAGTATCTTATTTTAAAACTTTGACATTCAGCTGCAAATATTTAATGATAAAAATATATGAGCTGATAAACTGTTTTAAATAAAATGATGTAAGGAGAGGTTAAGTATATCTTAAAGTTTCTGATTCAATTGTAATATGTTTGTAATCATTACCAAAGGAAAATACTGGATTACACACTCTCCAATGAGATTTGAAATGTCGTGGGTCTTCAAAGGACATAAAGTTGAAAATGATTGCATTGAATAAATTGCAGACGGATATAGAGATTGCATTTTGAAAATCAGTGAATGGATCTAAACTTTACATTGGCCACATGATGTCGCTGTACACCACAAAGTCTTGTCAAAAGGAGCTACTGATCACTAAAAGTAAAGGAGGAAGCTCCATTTTGTCACTGCCTGAAGAAGACAGAAACGGTAAAGAGATAAATGATTGGAAATATTAGATAAAAATAGCATGATTTTGAAGTAAGGAGAGAGCATAAAAAAGGTGTAGTCCTTTTGCAATGGTGTTTTCTAGGAGAGGAGGCCTGGGAGCCCAGGATCTGCTTCTTTCGCTTCTGCTCCTCGCAGCCTGGGAGATGGGGAGCGGCCAGCTCCACTACTCGATCCCGGAGGAAGCCAAACACGGCACCTTTGTTGGCCGCATTGCTCAGGACCTGGGGCTGGAGCTGGCGGAGCTGGTGCCGCGCCTGTTCCGGGTGGCGTCCAAAACACACGGGGACCTTCTGGAGGTAAATCTGCAGAATGGCATTTTGTTTGTGAATTCTCGAATTGATCGCGAGGAGCTGTGCGGGAGGAGCGCGGAGTGCAGTATCCACCTGGAGGTGATTGTGGACAGGCCGCTGCAGGTTTTCCATGTGGAGGTGAAGGTGAAAGATATTAACGATAATCCACCCGTCTTCAGAGGCAGAGAACAAATAATATTTATTCCTGAATCTAGACTCCTGGATTCGCGTTTTCCGATAGAAGGAGCTGCTGATGCAGACATTGGTGTTAACGCTCTTCTAGCGTACACCCTCAGCCCGAGTGATTATTTCTCTTTGGATGTACAGTCAAGTGATGAACTGAGTAAATCTCTTTGGCTTGAATTGAGAAAATCTTTGGATAGAGAAGAAACACCAGAACTTCGCTTATTACTGACAGCCACTGACGGGGGTAAACCGGAGCTGCAAGGTACAGTTGAGCTGCTGATCACCGTCCTCGACGTTAATGATAACGCCCCACTGTTTGACCAGGCCGTATACAGAGTCCACTTATTAGAGACTACAGCAAATGGAACATTAGTGACCACATTAAATGCCTCCGACGCTGACGAAGGTGTAAATGGTGAAGTTGTCTTTTCCTTTGACAGTGGTATTTCTCATGACATTCAAGAAAAATTCAAAGTTGATTCCAGCTCAGGAGAAATCAGGTTAATTGATAAACTGGATTATGAAGAAACAAAATCCTACGAAATTCAAGTAAAGGCAGTTGATAAAGGAAGTCCTCCGATGTCAAACCACTGCAAGGTTTTGGTGAAAGTGCTGGATGTAAACGATAATGCTCCAGAACTGGCGGTCACTTCATTGTATTTGCCTATCAGAGAGGACGCTCCACTCAGCACCGTCATCGCCCTCATCACCGTGTCTGACCGTGACTCAGGTGCCAACGGGCAGGTGACTTGCTCCCTAATGCCCCGTGTACCCTTCAAGCTGGTGTCCACCTTCAAGAATTACTACTCGTTAGTGCTAGACAGCGCCTTGGATCGCGAGAGCCTGTCGGTCTTTGAGCTGGTGGTGACCGCGCGGGACGGGGGCTCGCCTTCGCTGTGGGCCACAGCCAGCGTGTCCGTGGAGGTGGCCGACGTGAACGACAACGCGCCAGCGTTCGCGCAGCCCGAGTACACAGTGTTCGTGAAGGAGAACAACCCGCCGGGCTGCCACATCTTCACGGTGTCTGCGCGGGACGCGGACGCGCAGGAGAACGCGCTGGTGTCCTATTCGCTGGTGGA